GCAGGATTCAGGCATGGGAGTGAGCCTGGGATGTGAACCTGGGGGACTCCTCTGCTGGGTTATTGCTTCCACTGGTTAGCCTGAGAGCTGGGACTCAGGAGTTGCTTGTCCAGGAAGGGCTGTAACACCCATAAGCCAGAATTGGAGCTGGATCTGGGGCTGGTCAGGTTGGGCAAGGTTTCTGCATCCACTAGTGCAGAGAGAGCCAGAATGGGTACAGGCCAGCTGGGCTAGGCCACAGCAGCCCCTGGCAAGTGCCAGAACTGGGTGTGAGTCATGTCAGACTTGACTGTAGTATCCTGTCATGTGCAAGATCTGGAGCTGGAAGTGGACCTAGTAGAGGACCCATGGGCATTCCTCTGTTAGGCTACAGCTTCTGCTGGTGAGCATGAGAGCCAAGCTAGTTGTGGGCTGGGCCAGACAAAGCAACAGTACCTGTCAGCATATGTGTGTATAGGTCTGAGGGTGGGTCATACTGAGCAAAGCCACAACACTCATGTGTGTGAGAGCCAGATGAGATGCAGGACGGACCGGACTTGACTATTACACATGCCAGCATGCACAGGATCCAGGACTGGTGGTGGGCCTGGTGGGAGTTATTGAGGATTGTTGTGACTATGCTGTAGTTCCCACTTGTGTGTGTAAAGGCTAGGTTTGTGGCAGGCTGGGTTGGGCTAAGCTGTAGCACCCATTGGCTCATGTGAAAGACAGAGTTGACAGGAGGCAGCTGCATTCACCAGTTTGTGTGTAGGCTGATGTAGGTGACAGACACAAGTCAGGCCTGGGGCCATCACAGTGAGATTCCTTGGGAGGACTCCCAACTTGATCACTGGACTCAAACTCTGGTCACAGGGAAAATCACAGTGTATGTAATCCAATCTTGGAGTGATTGTTTTGAAACTAGACCTCCTCAGTTGTTGATGCCTACGCAGTGGACAGCATGCCCAGATGCACATGGGGGGACATGATGGCCAGCTCATCTAAGCCAGTAGAGAATGTCAAGTGCCTCTTCAGAAGACGAAGAGCAGAACAAGTTGGACAATTCTCCTGGCCAAACTTTGCAGCAATTTTCAGGGTCTGTGAAGGCACTGAGGTAGACATGGCCAGCTAATAGACCGTGGAAAGATCTCAACCCTGGTACAACAAAGCTAATTATGTCTCAGAACTATCAAAACCATCAAACAACACCTTTCGGACACTCTTCCCCCCACTGGGATCTCTGGCATCATCAAATGGCTGGCCCCATCTCCGGGAGGCTGATGCAGTTTGGTGGAAAGGAACAGTCACTTCCCTTTCCCTCCCAGCAGACCAGAAAAACAAAAAGAACTGAAACATTTGTCCTACCCATCCTCCTCCATACCTTGATCCCCCCTACCCTAATCAAAAGCCCACATGGGCGTGCATCCTTCTCAATTATGTAAATAATAATTAAGATAAAATTTAAAATTAAAGAAAACTCTCCAATCTGTTCAAGTTCCTACCTTATTTTTATTTTTTTTTCCCATGTTGTGCTCTGTTGTGCCATTTTCGAAATCTCTTTTCTTTACACCCAATAGCCAGAGCTGATCTGACCCAAAACAGGAGCTTCTTCTGGGTCTCCCAAGTGGGTGCAGGGGCCAAAGGTCCTGGGCTCCCTCCTCTGCTTTCTGAGGCCATAAGCAGGGAGCTGAATTGGAAGTGAGGCAGCTCAGGCATGAATCAGTGTCCATACGAGATGTTGGTGCCACAAGGTGGGTGGAGGATGAGTCTGCGCCACTATTGTGCTGCCTGCAACCCCCTTAAAAAAAAAACAGTCTGTCTATGTATGTATGTATGTATGTATGTATCTATCTATCTATCTATCTATAATCTATTTGAAAGGCGGTTATGGGATGGGGTGGTGGGAGGGCAGGAGGGAGGGAGAGAGAGAGAGAATCTTCTATGGACTGGTTTGCTCTCCGAATGGCTGCAATGTCCCAGAGCTGGTAGTCTGAAGCCAGGAGCTTCTTTCGGGTCTCCAACATGGGTGCAGGGGCTCAAGGACTTGGTCCATCTTCCACTGCTTTCCCAGGAACATTAGAGAGAAGTTGATTTCCAGAGCTGGAGTTGGTCTCCAGAAGTTTAACCATAACCCAAGATAACCTCAAGCTGTGAAAGATGAGAAGGCATATGGCAGCAGGGCATGAAAAAGTCTGTGGGTCCTGGAAATTTCCTACATCTGGCAAAGCAACACCACAGGTGAGTTCAGTGGTCATGAACTCAAGTAGAATGGCCAGATAGTTAATCTGTCATATTACACCAAGGAACAGATTCTTGGCTGTGGTCCACTATGGCACCCTCCCTAGTTTTTGCTTCTGGGGCTGCAGGTGCAGGTGAATGTGAGGTTGATTCACAAACGATGGTGGTGCAGGCAGAGAACTGGGACCACGGCAGAAGGGTTGAGGTCACAGCAGCATGGTGCCTGGGATGGTCATATGGGATAGATGAAGGGACATGACCACAAAACACGCAGAATGGCTAGAGCCCTAGTAGCTTCTCTGGAATGAGTGTTCATGTCACTCCAAGTTCATGTGCTGAAATCCTGTGATGTGATGGTAGCTAGAGGTGGGACCTTTGGGAAGGGTCTATGGCCTGAGGATGGAGTGAGTCCTTCGGACGAGGATGCCCTGAGGGAGGAGATCCCAGAGGTGTCCTTGGCCCTACAGCCAGATCTGGACATCGCAAGGTGCCACCTGTTTCAGCCTGGGACAGCACTGGCCATTGTGATCCATCTGGGGGTGAAACAGCAGATAGAAAATCTTTCTCTCTCTGATTCTGCTTTTCAAATAAATAAAATAAATTATAAAAAGCAAAAAACAAACTTCCAAATCCAGTCTTCTCACTAACTTGCCTCTCCTCACCCTTGTGTAGCTTTTCCAATCCCTCTTCCTGCTCAGCCTTTTCCCATCAGAGCTTCATCTCCTCCTCATTGTTCCGTTTTGCATTCCTTTCCCATTTTCTGCATGGGTTGAAGATCTTCAGACACCAGGGTCATTGCGCAGAATATTGGGGTTCTGTTCTGTCTGTCCACTGGAGCCGTCTTTACCTATCAATGCCAGTGAAATAGAAACTATTTGTGCTTTGGGATTTGTACCTATTTAGAAATAAAGGTATCATTCTAACAAACAACTGGTTCCCCATATGGCAATTGTGCATCCTGTGTGCTTCCTTCTATCTTAAAAGGAATGCTGGGGGTATTACAGTTGCATACCAGGCTAATCCTTCATCTGAGACACTGGCATCTCATATGGGCACCAGTTTGAGTCCTGACTGCTCCACTTCTCATCCAGCTCCCCCTCTGAGCAAGCAGCAGAGGATAGCCTAAGTGCTTAGGCCCCTGCACCCATGTGGAAGATCTGGAGGAAGCTCCTGGCTCCTTTTCTTTCTTTTTTAAAAAGATACATTGGGCCCGGCGCGGTGGTGCAGTGGTTAAGGTCCTCGCCTTGCACGCCCGGGATCCCATATAGGTGCCGGTTCTAATCCCGGCAGCCCCGCTTCCCTTCCAGCTCCCTGCCTGTGGCCCGGGAAAGCAGTCGAGGATGGCCCAAAGCTTTGGGACCCTGCACCCGTGTAGGAGACCCGGAAGAGGCTCCTGGCTTCGGATCGACATAGCATCAGCCGTTGCGCTCACTTGGGGAGTGAATCATCGGATGGAAGATCTTCCTCTCTGTCTCTCCTCTCTGTATATTTGCCTTTCCAATGAAAAAAAATAATAAAAATAAATCTTTAAAAAAAAAAAGATGCATTTATATTTATTGGAAAGTCAGATATACAGAGAGGAGGAGAGACAGAGAGGAAGATCTTCCATCTAAGGATTCACTCCCCAAGTGGCCACAACAGCCAGAGCTGAGCCAATCCTAAGCCAAGAGCCTGGAGCTTCTTCCCATTTGGGTGCAGGGTCCCAAGGCTTTGGGTCAACCTTGACTGATTTCCCAGGCACAGGCAGGGAACTGGATGGGACGTGGAGCCACCACGACATGAATTGGCACCCATATGGGATCCCAGCGTGTGCAAGGGGAGGACTTCAGCTGCTCGGCTATAGGACTGGACCCATGAAGCTTTGGGTTCCTATATTCATATTGGCTCAGCTCCAGCAATTGTGGCCATTTGAAAAGTAAACCAGTAGATGAAAGATCTTCTCTTTGTCCCTCCTTCTCTATAAATCTGCATTTCAAATAAAAATAAATCTACAAAGGAAAAAAAGGAGTCCTACCAAACAATAAGTATATAATAAAATAAGAGAAACCACAAGTCTGACTTTTGGGGGGAAGAGTTATGTTTATTAATAAAATATCATCAAGCAAAGGGAGACACAATGCATGTTAATGTATCAATGGGGAATCTTCCAAGAGAAAAAATGAATAGCAGTTGTGACACGAGCTATACAAAAACTCACAGTTGTGGGAAGGCATAAAAACATAACTGTTATAAAAAAACATCCTCCTGTACCAGTCTCAGCACATCAGCTACACTGAAAACACCACAGACGGGCTGAGGTCCAGACATGAGCTTGCCCTGCTTTAGAGAGGAAAACCGTCACTGTTGTTACTGTGGGCTACGCCTCCGCTCCCAAGCTCCGCTTCCGCTGGCATGGAAATCACCCAATGAGGGCAGATGAGAAAGCCTTCAGGTACAGGTAAGCTCTTACCCAGCAGCAGAGAAACCCATGCTGGCAAAATGTCTAGCTAACAGACTGCACAGATGTGAGAGGGGAAAAAAACATCAAAATGCCATTTAGATGTTCAAGTAGGTGGATCAGGTGTCAGATAACTCAATGCTACACTTGGAAAACTCACAGGCAAACATTTAGAGAGCTAGCAACTCCACTGAACACTCCCAAAAAAGAGACTGAAGGGAGACATTTTGCACATACTGACTGCATCTTCCCAAGGGAAAGCTCACAGCAGGAGGACCGGGAGAGCAAGATGGCTGGGCTGCAGGAGAGCCTGCATTTCAGGGTTGCAGCCGGGTGACCTGGGAGGTAAATGCCTGTGGCAGCACTAATAGGCAGAAGCTTGATGTTGCAAGGAGACCCATCCGAGCATGCACACTGCAGATAAGCCTGGGAAACACCATGCTTTGCAAGCACAAGACAATTCACTAATTCACAAGCAGAAAAACCCCAGGAGACAAGAGTAACAAGGTGAGTCTCTTCCCAGTGGTAGTGCTCCCAGGAGATGCCTTTCAAGTCACACTAAGTCCAGCATGGTAGAGGAGAGTTTTGTGTTAGCCCTTGTGTGGTTGGCCTTCAAAATAAGCTTAGAACGTGAACCCTGGAGGAAATTCCCCCAACAAGCAAGAAGTCAGTTGGACACGTACAAAGTCTGACTCCCAGAAACACAAAGTTCTATACCTGATACCTGGCTTTTTCAGAATGAAGATGATATGAAAGTGAATGAGGCTGTACTTCTGCTCATTTCACCCAAAGGCCTTCCTAGCAAATAAGTTTTGCTTCCATCCTAAATTCCTCTGTTAAGGTCCATCCTCACTACAGACAAGATCCTGTGCAAGTTGCTCTAAGCGGAAAGTCTTGACTCAACCCATGGCACCAATTTCATCCTGGAGTCTACTGGCTCTCCTATACTGCCCTATCCCCAGGTTACTTACTGGCTGGTCAAGGGCTGGGAATCTCACCTAATGGCCAGGGAATCTTTGTCACCTTTGACCTTCACATCAGAGACTGGAGTGGGGAGTTCTCTTGGCCCACCGAAAGTAGGAAGGTCTAGCCTACAGAGAAGAAAGGGCAGGTTGAACTGTGCAGAAATGCAGAGGATTATCATGGGATATAGTTCGGATCTTTGCACAAGGCTGGCCCCATCCACACTGGGTGCAGGCTTCAGGGACTCCCTTCAGGGACAATGAATAAGAGTTCTCGCCGGCTTCCAGCAGGAAGCAAGCACAAGAGAAGACAGGGAGCAGCTGGTCTCCCAGTTCCAGCATGCCTTGCTACTTAGGCTCCTGTGTGTCCTCTCCCTTGAGTGGGGCTGCTGCCACTGTGGAGGTGGTCTTGAGGCTCCGCTTCCGCTTGGCCACATTCTGCTCGGGGTGGAACAGGATGATGTAGGTTTTGGGCACGTAGAGCATGCCAAGGGACACCGATGCACTGAGGCTCAAGGACACGGTCAGTGTGGCTGTCTGGATGTAGATCTAAGCCATGGAAGAAGGCATGAGTGGGGACTCAGCCTTGTCCCCTCCCATGCCTGCACACTCACAGCCACTTAGACAGGAGGTATCTACTGCAGTTGAGTGAGAGGGCAGAGGACACAGCATTTACAAAGTTCCAGTGTGTGGGAAAGTTGGCAGCCACTTTGTGACTCATGTAGGCAGAAGGGAAGTGAGTGGCAAGTGACCAGTGTTAGTAACAGGATTGCCCAAGGAACCAGTTTCTATGTCTAAAAGGGCCAGAACGTGTGAACCAGGGAATGAACATGTTCTCAAAGGCAACAACGAAAAAATGAACAGTGACTGCATGAAGGGGTCAATGGACAAGGTAGTGAATGGCACAGGTGAGTAAGCATATATTTTCCTACACACATCAACATGTCGAGCTGAAGGTCAAACAGATATGAACAAATGACAGACTGAACCATCACAAGCAAGCCAAGCATCAATGAATGGATTTAGACATTTAAAGACAAAAAATGCCAAGAAGAGTCGAGATTATGGAGTGCATTGAAGAGATGGATGAATGGGTCAGGGAAAACATGAGTGATTTTGAGAACAACAGGTAATGCAGAAGCCCTGAGTCATCCCTCCAACCAAGCAATCATTCCATTAATGAAGAATCCACAGCCTGTCTGGCTCTGGGAACTGTGGAGCCCTTGCCTGGACAGACCAGACAGCATTACCTCTAGTGGGGTCCCAGGTACCTTTTCAGCAGACTGGGCAGTGCCGAAGAAGATGGGCACGAAGGCCAGCCAGACGATGCAGGTGGTGTACATGGTGAAGCCAATGGGCTTGGCCTCATTGAAGGTCTCAGGGACACCACGGGCCTTGATGGCATACACGGTGCATGTGACCATGAGCAGGAGGCTGTAGCCCAGGCAACCGATGAGGGACAGATCCGACATGTCGCACTTGAGCACCCCTCTGGCCTGCTCTGGATCTACCGTGCGCTGCTCTTCATAGTCGATGACGCTGTGTGGGGGCAAGGCCCCTAGCCACGCTATCACTCCCACCACCTGCAAGAGCCGAAGTTGTGTCAGGGAGACACATACCATCCCCTCCAGGGTCAATCCTGTCCTAACTCTCTGGCAGGTTAGGGTCCCCTTACATGGCAATAAATATGTGGTGTGTGTGGAGCCACTTAGTGGGGAGGACTACTCTGTGGCAGACCCAGGAGGATAGTTGAAGCCCCCCTTCCACTGGGTCCCATCAGCTTGACTGGGGCTGCCAGTGTAACAGCAGGCCCGCCTCCCAACCACCCATCCCACACCTCTCAGGAGCTCCCTAACTTGCTGTGATGTCACGGCCTTGGAAAACAGTAGGAAGCAAGTCTGCTAAGTGAGTTGTGGTCATGTGCTGGAACCAGACATGCCACTCCACAGAAGTCCCACTCCTCTTACTCCCTACACTGAGGGAACTGGGCAATTCTAATCCTCTTAGGGAAACTGGTTCTTTGCTTCTGGAAAGTCCGTGGGATGTGTCTCTCCTGTTTCCTTTTTGGGCCAAAGTATGAAAGCACAAGTTCAACCTGTGAGAATAACTGCACTGCATTGCAGTCACACAGCCTCATGGACTTCACAGTCACCTGCGTCTCTGATGTGGCTCCTGCGAGGACCAGCCTCCCCTCTGCCTTTCTCTCATTGCATAAGAGCAGCCTACACCTCCCTCAGCTCCTGTGGTTTTTACTGTTTCGTTTTAATTGACAGGGGATCCACAACCAAGAAGAGGGGACTCTATAAATATGGCTTTTCAGATATGGGGGCTAAGGACAGTCCCCTTGGCCAGTCCCTCCGCACCTGCAGGGAGGTGAGGCTGAAGGTGATGACAAGCTGCGAGGTGGGGCTGATGAATGGTGGGGGTGTGACGGAGCGCTTGCCCTGCTCGAAGATGCGATAGATGCGGTTGGTCTTGGTGAGCAGGGCCGAGTAGCTGAGTGTGGTACCCAGGCCCAGGAAGAGGCGGCGAGCAGCACACACGGCTGCCCCAGGCTCAGCCACCATAAGGAAGGTGACAGCGTAGATGAGGAAGATGCCAGTGAGGAGCACGTAGCTCAACTCACGGCCGGAGGCGCGCACAATGGGTGTGTCGTTGTGGCGAATGAAGGTGCCCACCACCGTGGTGGTGGCCACGATGCCCAGCACAGCCAGGAGGAGAGGTGGGGCCGCCCAGGGGGAGGACCAGGTGAGGCCGACCACAGGCGTGGGCCGGCAGCCTGTGTGGTTGGGTGTGGGCCTCATGTGCCCTGGGCAGGCCTCACACGTGAACTCATCCACCTGAAAGCGGTAGCCATCGCAGGCCTCACAGTGCCAGCAGCAGGGCACGCCCTTCACCATCTTCTTCCGCTCTCCAGCCCCACAGGGGAGGCTGCACTGAGACGGGGGCACCTCATGCGGGTCGCCTGACCACTGGAGGGCTTCTACCTGCCATGGGTGAAACACAGGCAGGGGGACCTGAGTGAGCCCCCCAGGAATGAGGAGCCCATCTCCTGGTCACCCAAAATTTGGTTATGCAGACCACTCACATCCAGTCTGAGGGCCTCTGCCCATTGGCCCACAGCCTGGTACCCTCCGCTGCTGGCACTGCCATTGGCCGCCTGGTACTGGAAGATGTCATAGCGGCCCGGTGCATCTCCGTTCTCGTTGAACATCACAGGGGTTCCCGCACTTCCTGAAGGGAGAGTCTTTTACCTCCAGCTGGTTGTCATCTCCTCTCCCCTCCCATACCCACCCAGGTCAAGACTAGTCTGGAGGGACCTTAAGACCAGCCAGGCTATAGGGAGAACTTAACATGAAAGGAGCCTCATCTTCTCTTGCCATCAGGAAGACAAAAATCAAAGCCATGGCAAGGTGTCACATTTGTCCACTAACAAGACACAACAGGGAGCTGGTGTTTAGCCAATGACTGGATAGCATGTTCCGCACCAGGGTGCTTTGGTTCAATTCCTGGCTTCAGCTCCTGACATCCAATTCCTGCCAAAGCAGACCCTAGGAGACAGCAAGTGATGGCTCAAGAAATCGGATGCCTGCCTCCAAGTGGGAGATCTGGACTGAATTCCCAGCTCCCAGCTTCAGTTAGGGCCCAGCCCCAGAGGTTGTAGGCATTTGGGGGGAGTGAAGTGGTAGTGTGAGTGCACACTCTTCAATAAAAATGTAATAGACAACATTAAAAAAAAAAAAAGCAGAAAGAGACCAGTGTTAACAAGGATGTGGAAAAGCTAGAAACCTTGTTCACTATGTAAAACAGTACAGATGTTCCTTGAGCAATTAAACACAGAATCGCCACACCACCTGGCACCCCAAAAAGAACAGCAAGCAGGGTCTAGGAGCGGTATGTGTACCCGCATGCTCAGAGCAACATTTATCACCACAGCCAACAGGTGGAAGCACACCATGTGTGTCCTCGCGGATGAACAAATGACAAAAAGTGGGCTGTGAACAATGGAGCATGGTCTTCCTTGAAAAAGGGAAGGGCATCTGACACCTGCTACACTGTGGATAGACCTTGAGGATACTCTGTGGGGTGAAACAGCCAGTCACAGTGAATCTGGTACGTAACAGTGTTGCTCAGGGGAGATACCCACAGCAGTGAAGCCCAGAGAGACACAAAGCAGCATGGTGACCAGTGGGGGCAGGCATGGCCCGGGAGAGTGCAGAATGACGACAAGAGTTCCACTTAACAAAATGAAAGGAGCTGGGGTTGGGTGGGGGTGATAGGTGCACAATGGTGGAGCAAACTCCATGCCGTGGGATTGCATACTGTGCAGCCATCCTGCAGCACACTTAGTGGGCAGCATCAGGATGTAGCTCCTGCTGCCTGGAAAAAAGAAAGCTCGAGTTTCGCTTCATACAGTGTCTGATGACATTGTGAAATTGGTACTCATTTGAGCGGTCTGACACATCTCATTAACATACTTAATCTGGGGCATGGCACAATGGCTCAGTTGGCTAATCCTGCCCTTGAAGCACCAGGATCCCATATGGGTGCCAGTTCATGTCCTGGCTGTTCTACTTCCCATCCAGCTCCCTGCTTGTGACCTGGGAAAGCAGTAGTGGATGGCTCAAAGTCTTGGGAGCCTGCACCCACATGGGAGACCCAAAAGAAACTCCTGGCTTCAAATCGGCTCAGCTCTGGCCATTGTGGCCATTTGGGGACTGGGCCAGTGGTTGGAAGATCTTTCTCACTGTCTCTCATTCTCTGTTTATCTGATCTGCCTTTCCAATAAAATTTTAAAAGTCTTAAAAAAAGAAAGGAAAGAATATTTGGTCTGCCAGCTTGCTGAGCTGGTCTGATTTAGCCACAAGTGCGGCAGCGAAAGGGGAGAGGAAGCATCCAGTGGAAGAGCCCAGGCCATCTCTCTCCAAGTACTGCGCATGGCTGAGTCCATCTGGGTCCTTTCAGAAGCTGTGGTCTCCAGGTCACGTGCCTGTGCCTGAGGGAGGGCCCTTGTGCAGATGGAAGTGTGCCCATGTGTGCTCACAGGCTCTAGCTGTGCCCCTAAGCTCGGTGTGGTGGAGAGGGATGCTGAATGTGAGCTGCCAAAGAAACAGAGAAGCTTCTGGATGCTGGAATTTAGCAAGGGCAAAGAGTACTGAAGCCCAGGCAAGGAAGGGACATTCAAAAGTGGTGACCACAGCTTGGCTCAAGTGTCCTGCCACTGGCCCCAGACACACAAGCCCATTACCATGCTTGTACTTCTTTCTCCTACCCTAAAGAGAAACCCATTCCAGTGGGAGCCCTGGCACCCACTCACCATTGAAGCGCACAGCTCGAATGTACTGGAGCAGAGTCCTCCCATCTGTGGGTTCCATAGCCGGGCACAGGCCTGTTTGCCCAGGGCAGAGGGCCTGGTGCATGCTGTGGAGGGCGTGGGCAATGGCGTACACAGCGTCGATCACAAACTGCACCTTTCCTTCCTGCTCATAGGCAGAGTCCTGGCCGATGCGTTCCTCACCTGTCCTTGGGGATGTCTGCAGGTAGTGTGCCTGGCACCCACGCACCTCCTCCCCACACCAGCCCCTCACCTCTCCAGGCAGTCCTCACCTGTGCACTTGCGAACGGCTTCCTCATTTTGTCTGCCAGAGCTGGTCAGCTTGCAGTTAAAATTCTCTTCCCAGAATTCCGCAAACCAGATGTTCCTGCGATTGTTCTCCAGGGAGCGAGTCATGAAGTACTGGTCAAAGCCTAAGGGGATGGGGGAAGAGGAGGAGGGAGGTGGCCACATCACAGCTGGCTGGGGTGCTGGGGGTAGCCATGGGACCAAGTTCTGACCAGGGCTGGAGTAGATGAGTTGGGAGTTGGAGAGAGAATCCAAGGCCTGCAGTAGACATCGTGTCCTGTTATGATTCAGAGCCTCCCTCATTGGAAAGGCTCCTGTCCTCCCTGCCTTTCCTTCTCAGTAGGGGTGCTGCTGGGAAGAGGTAACAGGAAGAGCTTCAGCAGCCGACTTGTGAGTGAACATGAGACCACAAGTACAAAGACACAAAGTGACTACATAGGGGGTGTGCAGATCACCCAAGCTCACTGCACTGCCTCTGATAGTCAGCTCATTTCAGACTTGCTGCCATTCTCAGTCCAGTTTGTCATTTGCAACTAAAAGCATCCCAGCTGAAAGCAGTGGTATAAGAGTGTGCACTCCCAAAAGCTTGGAAGCCTACGGGCCTGGGCTTGGTAACACAGCTTTGCCTTGGGCTCTTCTTTGGAAAAATGAGCGATCCCAGTTTGAGGTGAGGCCCTATCCCTGTGACCAATGGATGCTCCCTGCCATGCCCTTGGCATCTCCCTCTAAGCCTCACCCTTCAAACAGACATTCAGTAGAACCAGAAATACCCACGCCACCCTAAAAACCACACACACTAGCAACTCCCTTCTGCATAGTGAGTGAAGCGCTTGACACTGCAGGGGGAGGGTAGACAGAACCCTCAGAACTGTGGAATCCGGAGCTCCCACAAGGGACCTGGATCATGGTGTGCTCACAGGGTGAGCAGCCCTGAAGAGGATCTTGGGGAGGAGCACAGGGTCGGGGGGCTGCACTGCTCCAGGCCTCACCGTCAATGGAAGCCCTCTTGGGAAGAATGGTGATGGCCCCCACAGCCTCTTCCTCCAAGCTCAGGATTGGGGAGGTCTTAGATCCCCAGCTGTCTGAGCCCACCCACAGGAAGTGGCCAGTTAGGTTGGCCTGGCGCGTGGCCTCCAGGACTCGCCTAGAAGAAATGGAGGATGGATGAGTAAGAACCTGGGGGTTCTTCTCTTGCCTGGCCCAGGACCCTCACCTGTGCAATCCCTCTACCCAAGAGGAACTGGGAACCCTCCAACCCCAGCCCTGCCCCCATGCTCTGCCCATTGGCCCTCCATATGTGCTGCGATGTGGTGCAGCTGTTTGTGTGCTGGAGGCTTGGTCCTCTATGTGGGAGGCAGGTGGGTCCAGTGGGGGCAGCTAGATTAAATCTCATTTCTTTACAAATTACTCAGCTTTGTGTAACTTTTTACTTTTGACAGGAACAGGAAATGGGGGGGGGAGCATATGAGAAATTTAAGGCCAGTGAGAAACCTCCATTCTCCATCTGCCTCCACCAATGCCACTGGCAGCCTCGTGTGTATGTGTGTGTGTGTGTGTGTGTGTGTGTGTGTGTGTGTGTGTGTGTGTGTGATATACCACCTGCTTGTTCTAGGTCTGTGAGCCAGTGTGGGGAAGTCTTCACCAAGACCAGCTGGCATTCATTTCTGAGAACCCTGGATTCAGATCACAGCAAATGAAGTGGGGTGGGGGATGGGAAGAGTGAAGGAATGAGGAGGGAAGGTGAGTGTGGCAGAAGGGACGGGCCTCAAAGAGAGCCTGGGGCAAACTGCCCCCTCCCCCGTCCGACCTGATGTCGTCCTCGCTGGCAAAGATGATGATGCCCCGTGCATTGGGGGTCTCCATGAGCCTCTTGATCACCTTGTTGAATTCGCCTGGCTTTGGTTCCCTGGGAATCTTGATGGATTGGGCAATACAGACCCCACCTGGGCATTAGGAATACCAAAGTCAGTGCTCCTGTCACCAGCCCGCCCAGCCACCCAGACTTGTGACTGTGTTCTTGGGCATGAGACACCTCTGCTGGGGGGAAGGAGTCTGGCTGAGGGGCTCACAGGGTGACATTTGGCCTCTAGGCCACCAGACAAGAGCAGGGCCTGCACAGGGCAGGGGGGTTCTGCCTACCTATGGTTCCTTCACCACATGGCTGAGGCCCCCAGCGGACCCAGTGCCCTCATCTCTTGGCTCCACCCTACCCCATCCACTGTTGGCTTACACCTTTGTAGGCTCCCTGGACCCAGACCACAAACCCCCAGCTCACCAGCCTCGCGGGAGATCTGCACGAAGGCCTCTACCCCACTCTCGCCATAGTTGCCCTCGGAGGCCAGTGTGGACACGTAGTTCCAGCCCAAGGCCCGCACAATGTCCACCATGGCCTGGGCCTGGTAGGAGTCTGGGGGTACCACTCTGGAGAAGAAGTCATAGCGTGTGGCATCGCTGAGCTCCGGCGCTGTGGACGCATAGCTGATCTGGGGAATCTGCAGATGGGAAGGACACCCGGGCTGTGGATGAAGGCTGGGGGACCCAAGGGAGGGACAGCCATGGGGACTCAGGCATAGAGGGCATAGAGGGCATAGTGGGCTCTGGGGACCAACAGAGGGTTTCAGGATGAGGCAGCAGGAGTAGCCTCTCAATCTAAGTTTTTGGGTTTTTTTTTTTATATTTATTCATTTTTATTGGAGAGTCATATTTACAGAGGGAGAGAGACAGAGAGGTCTTCCATCTGTTGGCTTACTCCCCAAAGAGCTGCAATGGCCAAAGCTTGGGCAGTATGAAGTCAGGAACCAGGAACCTCCTCTAGGTCTCCCACATGGGTGCAGGAGCCCAACGTCTTGGTCCATCCTCTTCTACCCACTCAGGTCATTAGCAGAGAGCTGAATTGGAAATGGAGCAGCTGGGACACAAACCAGCATCCATATGGGATGCTGATGCCAAAAGTGGATGTTATGCTATGGCATCAGCAACTTAACCTGGGGAGGCCTGAGTCTGAGGAGACAGAGCAGGGCCACCAGAGACAGCTGTGCCCACAAGGACACCCTAGCCAAGTGGAAGCTGAGATTGCAGCCTAGCCTAGAGCAAGTGCATGCAATGGGCCTAGATTGCATCCACTGAGGGGAAAGGTGCATCCCTGACAGCTCCTGAGCAAAAGGCATTTTCCTAAGTCCCACCAAGGGACCTCTAGTGCACATGGTAGCCCTTCAAAGGATGCAGGCAGACAGGGACCTGGAGAGCACAGCTGGATTGAAGGTCAAGTCCGGACTTCCAGAAGGGTTTGTTTGGAACTAGATTTTATCTGTGTGCATTAGAGCAATGAAAGAAAGGATTACAAACGAAGCCAGCCAAAGGACAAAAGAGGAGAGGGGGAGGAAATGTAAAAGGAGTGGGGAAGAATCGCACCTCAGCTAGGGCTTGACAAGAGGGGACAGAGTGGGCAGGCAGTGGGGCTGGCACGTAGAGGGGACAGAATGAGCAGTGGAGGCACAGCAAAGAAAGGGGCATTCAGAGCCCAGTGCATGGAGCAGAACAGAATGTGTGCTAGTCAGGGGGTGAGGAACTGGAAGGAAGGGGTGGGGAGGCCTGAGTAAGAATGAAAACATGTGTGGAGCATGGCAGCGGGGGAGGGAGGAGTGGAGAACAGATCTGGGAGGGATGGAGACAGAAAAACAGGGAGCCAGAGGGAAAGCCATGCTGATATTGCCACACAGAGCACAGTGGGGTGGGAGGAGCTAAGTGTCTGTCCCTCCCCTGCCCCCAGGGTGGCATGTCCAACCAACATGGGTAGGGTTAGGGGGATAGGCACAGTCGTTGGTGGCCCTGCAAGAACCAGATCCCCAGGAAGCTGCACTCCCTGCTGTGGGCAGCACTGGCTAGCGCCCCTCAGGGAACCCCAAATGCCACAGCCTCTGTCCCTGGGAATGCAAGGGACCCCGTGCTGCTCTTCCCAGCTCCCACAGCCTAAGGCAGGAAGGGCCATGCCCACTCCAGAAAGAAGAGCCCGCAGCTCCTGTTCCAAGCCCCCCAGGGATATTCAGAGTTTAAAAGATGATTTTAAAAAGAAAAAAAAAAATAGGAGACACTTGCTAGAGCTTTCCGGCCTCTCCAATCCAAGCCGTCCAGGAGAGCCTCCCAATGGCTGTTTTGAAAGAAGGGAACCTGGGAGTTCCTCCTCCCTCACAGCTCAGGGAGCCGGAATACCTTGCACTGTTGTGCAGGTTGTACACAAAAGGAGGGCATCCTAGCAAGTGCACAGGTGGAGGAACTGACGTCCCCATCCCACCCCCAAGGCTCAGGCTGCATCTGTGCTAGCCCGGAGTTCACAAACGAGGGAATGCGTGTTGGTGGCCAAGGTGTGTGGAGAGAGGGGCGGAGCTGGGGTGTTAGGATCGTATGCATCCGAGTGCGTCTGGCTGGACAGTGTTTCTCAAAGCAGTTTTTCATCTGTGTGAATTAAAGTGATTGAAAAGCAGACGCTCTCAGAAAGAGGTCAAGGAAGAAAGCCATTGGCCACCCGAAGCTGTGAACGGGAACTACCGTTGGGCGCCCTGTCCCGTCTCGCAAGCCCTCACCGCGAACAGGCGCAGCACGTTCGCCACCATGATGGAGACCGAGCTGGCCGAGGCGCCCACCACCGCCACCACGCGCTCAGGGGGCGCGGTGCGTAGCGGAGGGACGCCCCCGGGACAGCGCACGGCCGCCTCGTCTCCGTCGCCTCGGCCGCGTATCAGCGCCTGCACGAAGCTCAGCGCCTGCTCCAGCGCGTACGTGTCCCGCGAGCAGGTGTCCAGCAGCCGCGCGCCCAGGCGCACGCCAGGTAGCAGCTCCGGGTCGGCGTTCACGCGGTCCAACGCGTATAACATGGCCTCGAGCCGGTGCACACCTTGCTCTTTCTTCAGCTGGCCGCACGCACGGCCGGCCGCGCCGCGCGCGTGCACTGGGAACAGACCGCCCAGCGTGAGGCCGCCCGCCAGACGCACCGAGCCCGCAGCTCGCACCGGTCCCTCCTGCTCCAGCCACACCAGCAGCACCAGCAATAACAGCGCCATTGGCTCACCGCCTGTGGAAGGAAGACAGGGCGCCGCGTTCTCACCAGGATGGCTGGCTGGGAGTGCGGAGGGTGGGCTCACTCTAAACGTTGCGCGGAGCAAATTAGCCAAAGAGGGTGGGGGCGAGAATGCATCCCCCAATAAACACCGCCCCCCCCCCCCCACTTATTTTTACAGCCTTTGAACCAGACCACTTGGGTTCCCCTGCCCGGTCACTGCCTCCACCCACCAGCACTATCCCTGCTGTCAACCCCCGAACCCTCTTCCTTTGAGCTCTCCCCACTGCCCACTTAGATTCCCTGCTTAAGCCACACTCACCACAGCAGCCGCTGTCTGTTCTGAACAACCCAGTGACAGATGCTAACCACCCGGAGCTAGAGAGGATTTGAGGATTCTGGGGAGGGACTGGCAGCTCAGCCCAGGGGACACCCCTCCTGTGCAGGAGGATGACTGGTGGACTGGCCCTCCCTATCTCCCTGACTGCCCTTGCCTCCTCCCCAGCTCTGTGGTGCCCTTGGCGTCCCTATGTTCTTGACCGACCAAGGCACGCTCTCCCTGGGACTGTCTCTGGCACCCAGGCTTAGTCCCTCTGCCTATGCTGTGTTTCTGAGTCTCTTGGTATCTCTCTTCCCTTCTGCTTTCTTTCTGTCTTCTTGGTCTGGCCCTCTTCTCTGAGACCCTCTTGTCCATCTCTCTTTCCTGGCCCCAGCCCTCAGCTGCCTAAGGTGTCCACTGGCTGGCCACTGGCTAGTGAGAATGATGGAGAGCAGTGCTGGGCTTGTGGCCTTGACAGGCGAGTGGGTGAGGGGCATGCTGTGCTCTAGCTGACCTCCAAGAGCAGCACACTGGCAACATCCCTTTCCTGTCAACCCCGTTGCACAGCTGGGACAATAGAAGAACCAGAGAAGACAGAGACCCTGCCAAAACTGCACAGAGGGTGTGCATCACTATCTGCACCCAGAATGGTGGAGCACCACCAAGCCCACCTTGACTTTGGCAGGCTAAAGGAACAGAGCCGGCCCAACCTGTAGCTCATGGGTACTGCAAGTTTTTCTGGTCCCTGTAAAGGTAGTCTGGGCCCTGGGGTCTGAGACAGCACCTGGAGCAGGGGCCCACACATACCAGGCTTTGTCCTGTACTTTTACCACAATCCCCAGTGGAGATCCCTGGGTTTGGCTCTCTGGTGCCAAGAGAACAAAGAGCATCCTGGGCACAGGTGGTGAGCTCCTGCCTACAAGGATTAGCAGGCACCCACCCTAGAGCCTGAACCAGCTTTAGGCTCCATTAACCAGGATGGATTAGGGTGGTACTTGGGGATTTGGACAGGGCTGGTAGAGGGTACAAGCAGGGACCATGTCATCTTTTCTTTTCCCTCCGCATCCAGAGTCATGAAGCCATCTCTTCTCTGGGGAAAGCCGGGAGCACGGAGGCCCATGTTGATTGCTACCCATTTTAGAAACTGAGAGAATGGGGCTTTTAGCTGGTGCTAGACCAGAGGATGCCACTGGTGGAGGGGACATGCAAAGGGAGAACAAGACATGAAAGGGGGCTGGGAATTAGTGATGAAAACAGCTGCCTGCGATGACTTTGTCTCCAGAAGAAAAATGTCCTGACATTTGTTCCTTATACCTCCTTACATAAATCTGCATGACCAACATACCTGGGGGGGGAGGGCCTCCCCCAAGTTTGGCCTCAAGTTGTGTAGGCAGTAACTAGTTTTTTTTTTTTTTTTGAAAAAGATTTAAAAAAAAATTAATTGAAAGGCAGAGTTACAGAGAGAAAAGGTAGACAGAGAAAGAGATTTTCCATTTACTGGTTCACCTCCCAAATGACCTCAATGGCTGAAAGTAAGCTGATCTGAAGTCAGGAGCCAGAAGCTTCTTCTGGGTTGCCCGCATAGGTACAGGAACTCAAGAGTTTGAGTCTTCCTTCCCTGCTTTTCTAGGCTAGCAGCAGGGTGCTGAATCAGAAGTGGAGTGGCCAGACTCAAACCAGTGCCCATATTGGACAGCAGTGTTCCAGGCAGAGCATCAGCTTGCTATTCCTACATTGGCCCCATAGGCAGCGATTCTTTTTTTAAAGATTTATCCAATTCTACTGCAAAGTCATGACACAGAGAGGAGGAGAGACAGAGAGGACGATCCTCTGTCCAATGATTCACTCCCCAAGTGACCGCAACGGTCAGTGCTGCGCCAATCCAAAGTCAGGATCCAGGAACTTCCTCCACATGGGTACAGTTCTCCCACATGGGTACAGGGTCCCAAGGCCTTGGGCCATCCTCGACTGCCTTCCCAGGCCACAAGCAGAGAGCTGGATGGGAAGCAGGGCTGCCGGGATTAGAATCGGTGCCCATATGGGATCCCAGGGCATTCAAAGCAAGGACTTTAGCTGCTAGGCCACGGCGCCAGGCTCATAGGCAGCAATTTAAACTTACTAATGCTGTTACCTATGAATATTGTAAGGAACCTTAGCTTCAATAGATGATTCTGAGCCCATCCAGGAATGAACAGATCCTGATTCTCCATTCAGTCTCTGATGCCTGGTTGAGTGAAAGGGTGGGAGCTTCCCATCTGATGCCTGAGGGGCTCCCAACAGCCCACCCAGGTCCCGGAACTATCAGACAACAGACTCCTGGCTCACATGGCCAGGGCACCTGGAGGCCCTGACACAGAAACTGCACCATCAGGCAGTGGGGCCTGAAGGAGGCAAGAGTGTATGAGCAGGTTCTGGGATGGAATCCAGGTCTGGGGAAAGAATAGGCTCCAAGGAAGGCTCCAAGAGTGAGGCCAGGAAGACTTCACAGTGAAGACATTTCTTGAGAATATGAGGGCTGCAAGAGTGGGCAGAGCAGGTGTGACAAAGGCAGATACTGTAAGTTTAGGTTTGGACATAAGAAAACTAAGCCTCCATGGTGGAGTTGAAGAGAAGATCAAGAATGTGGATGAATTTCTAAGACCTTCCTGAATGCCTACAACCATTTTCACATAAATAATCGACTGTAGTCAAATGGCACAATTTAGTTCCAGTTGAGGTGAGTGCAGTGTTTGGTGCCCAGGCCCTGGGACCCCTGGACTCTGACTTATATCCTGGCGGTGTCACTTTCTTCTGGCTTAAATTTAGCCAGTCTCTGCCCCTTGATTTTACTTCAGTGCCCTAATCTATACATGAAAAGTCGAATACAGCAAATGCTGTTGTTTTTTTGTGTGTGTTTTTTTAATCAATTTACTTTTTTATAATCTTACTTAGTTGACTAAAGTACAAAGGGTCAAGGGCTAATATCATAATTTGTTCCCTGTATCTAGGGTCAGGGATAAACAAAGGGAAAAGCCCCACCCAGCCTCCCACCCATCCCAGGTCCCTGATGGGAGGCACGTGCCGAGGGTCCTGCTCAGGCAGTTTTGATAGTTCAACAGGTCTGAATTGCTGCCATTCTTGTAGTTCCAAGCACAATGAAATCTCTTCAGAATCCACTGGCTGACATAGTCTCTTCATGGTTGGGGTTCTGAGATCAGCAGTTCAGTTGGAGGGATTTCCAAAGAAACTTTGTCTGAGGTGATCCCAGATCTGATTCTTGTGTGTGCTTTCCAGTACAGGGTCCATTGAAGCCTAGTTCAGCCCAACCAACCTACTATCCAGCCCACACACGTACTGGCAGGTGCCTTTCGGTCTAGCCACCCCTGCCCCTGTCCTGGTTTTCGTGCTCTCCAGTGGGAGTGGTAACCTCTGAGGGAAGTGCCCACTATCTCCCTACGAGGCCACTCCAACTTCTGGATCATGCACTCTCCAGGTGGTTCTGGAGTTTAACCTGACAGAATTGGCCCCCAGTGCCAGCCTCTGCTATCTGATGCTGCAGCAAAGCCCAACCAACCCTCACCCACTCTAATTTTTGCTTGCACCAGTCGGAACAGCCCAATCTGGCCCTTCCCTAATCTAACTCACATGAGGCCCACAGGTGTTGTAGCCCTGTCTGGTCTGGTCTATCCCATCCCAGCTCATGCTCTCCAGTGGGCGTGGCTGTCCAGCAGGGGAGCCCACATTCCCCTGCCGGCTTTGCCCCCCCGCCCCCCCCACCGCCCCTGGTTCTCATGTGTGCTATTAGGGTGCTCCAACAAAATCTGGTATGGCTTACCTCATCTTGTGCACTGGTATGTGTTGTGACCGAAGCTGGCCCAATCCACACTCTATGCTGGTGCTCGGATTCGCCAGCGGTTGATGTTAACTGGTTCAACCTGGTCTGCCCCTGCCCTGTGCCAAATGTATGATGGTGAGTATCTTCCTCTGACCTGGTCCAAGTTGCTCGTTATCGTGGTTCTTGCACTCTCCTGTAGGGACTGTGTTCCGACAGAGGAGTTTCCCAAGCTCCTCCTTCAGAACCTCTCCCTTGCGCATACTGGTAGGTCTATGGGCCAGCCCTAATTGCTGGCCTTCAATCCGTTCCAGTTCTTGGTGTTGGATGTTTCACCCCAGCCAAGAAATGCTGTTGTTTTTGAAGTTCAATTCAATGTTTTTATCCTGATGTCTAGATTCCTGTATGTGTCTCTTTTGAAATACTGTAATTTGAATGGCTGTTCTGCAAAACTCACATTGAATTTTTAAAATAGATGTATTTGTATCTTATGTACTTGAAAAGGGAAGTAAGTAAGAGAGAAAGAGAGGGAGAATAGAGTAAATAGAGAGAGAGAGAGAAAGACCTTTTGCCTGCTGGTTCACTGCCTAAATGGTTGCAAGGGCTGATGCTAGGGCAGCCTGAATTCCATCTGGTTCTCCCATGTGGATGTCTGGGACACAAATACTCAAGCCATAACCTGCTGTTTCTCAAACACAGTTAGCAGGGAACTAGATCAGAAGCAGAATAGCATGGACTTGAATCAACACTCTAATGTGGCAAGTGGGCACCACAAAAGCAAAAATTCAATCTGCTGCTTCACAATGCCAGCCACCCCTCTCCCCATGCTGAAATGTAGTTGCCACCATAACAGTAATAAGAGCTGGGACTTCTG